CCAGAGCAATTAGGCAAGAAAAAGGAATAAAAGGTAATCCAAATAGGCAATGAAGAAGTGAAACTCTCACTGTTTGCAGACGACATGATTTTATATATAGAAAACCCTAAAGAATCCATTGGAAAACTATTAGAAATAATCAACAACTACAGCCAAGTGGCAGGGCACAAAATCAACTTACAAAAATCAGTTGCATTTCTGTATGCTAATAACGAACTAACAGAAAGAGAACTCAAGAAGACAATCCCATTTACAATCGCAACAAAAAGAATAAAATATCTAGGAATAAATGCAACCACGGAGGTGAAAACTATAAGACATTATTGAAAGAAACTGATGATGACATAAAGAAATGGAAAGATCCCATGCACATGGATTGGAAGAATAAACATAGTTAAAATGTCCATACTACCTAAAGCAATCTACAGAATCAATGCAATCCCAATCAGAATCCCAATGACATTCTTCACAGAAATAGAACAAAGAATACTAACATTCATATGGGGCAACAAAAGACCCTGAATAACTAAAGCAATCCTGAGAAAAAAGAACAAAGCTGGAGGCATCACAATCCCTGACTTCAAAATATACTACAAAGCTATATAATTAAAACAGCATGGTGGGGCCGGCCCCGTGGCATAGCGGTTAAGTGCGCGCGCTCCACTGCAGGCAGCCCAGGTTCGGATCCCGGGCGCGCACCAAGGCACCGCTTGTCGGGCCATGCTGTGGCGGCTTCCCATATAAAGTGGAGGAAGATGGGCACAGAAGTTAGCCTAGGGCCAGTCTTCCTCGGCAAAAAGGAGGAGGATTGGCGTGGATGTTAGCTCAGGGCTGATCTTCCTCACAAAGAAAAAAAAACCCAGCATGGTACTGGCACAAAAACACACACACAGATCAACAGAACAGAATTAAAAGCCCAGAAATAAAACCACACATCTATGGACAGCTAACCTTCGACAAAGGAGCTAAGAACATACAATGGAGAAAAGAAAGTCTATTCAATAAGTGGTGCTGGGAAAACTGGACAGCCACAGGCAAAAGAATGAAAGTAGATCATTTTCTTTCACCATACACAAAAATTAACTCAACAATGGATCAAAGACTTGAAGCTAAGATCTGAAACTATAAAACTCCTGGCAAAAAACAGACAGTACACTCTTTGACATCGGTCATACAGGGATCTTTTCGAATTCCATGTCTACTCGGACAAGGGAAACAAGAAAAAATAAACAAGTGGGACTTCATCAGACTAAGGAGCTTCTGAAATGAAACCAGGATATAAATGAAAAGACAACCCAACAGCTGGGAGAAAATATTTGCAAATCATATATCCAACAAGGGGTTAATCTCCATAATATATAAAGAACTCACACAACTGAACAACAAAAAAACAAACAACCTGATCAAAAAATGGGAAGAGGATATGAACAGACATTTTTCCAAGGAAGATATACAGGTGGCCAAAAAGCACATGAAAAGATGTTCAACATCACTAATCATCAGGGAAATGCAAATCAAAACTACACTAAGATATCACCTTACACCCATCAGAACGGCTATAATCACCAAGACAAAAAATAACAAATGTTGGGGAGGTTGTAGAGAAATGGGAACCCTCATTCACTGCTGGTGGGAATGCAAACTAGTGCAGCCTCTATGGAAAACAGTATGGAGATTCCTCAAAAAATTAAAAATAGAAATACCTTATGATCCAGCTATCCCACTACTAGGTATTTATCCAAAGATCCTGAAATCAACAATCCAAAGAGGTTTATGCACCCCTATGTTCACTGCAGCATTATTCACTATAGCCAAGACATGGAAGCAACCCAAATGTCCCTCGATTGATGATTGGATAAAGATGTGGTATATATATACAAGGCAATACTACTCAGCCATAAAAAACGACAAAATCGTCCCATTTGCAACAACATGGATGGATCTGGAGGGTATTATGTTAAGCGAAATAAGCCAGACAGAGAAAGACAAACACTGCATGATTTCACTCATATATAGAAGATAAACTAATACACAGACCGAGAGAACAGTTTGGTGGTTACCAGGGGGAAGGGGTTTGGGGGTGGGCACAAGGGGTGAAGGGACATATTTATATGGTGACTGACAAACAATAATGTACAACTAAAATTATACAATATTATAAACTATTATGACATCAATAAAAAAAAAAGGTGACCAAACAGTATGTATAGTGTAATTCAATTGTGTGTGTGTGTGTGTGATACACATATATGTTTACACATATACCTGTACAAAGGAAAAAGACTGGCAAGAAATATCCCAAGAATCTAAATGGGGAATAATGGGTGAGTTTTTCTGGATGATTATAAAAGTAATACATATTCTTTATAAAAATCTAGACAATAGGGAAAGGTACCACATGGACTGGCTCATATGCTTTTCATCCTACTCTCCTCCTACTGTGCCTTCCACAGCAGATACTGAAAAGCCTGAACTCTATTCCAAGACTCCCTTGCAGCTAGGGATGCAGCAAATTAGGTTCAGCCAATTGGTTGTGCTTTGCAAGATCTAGAAGATGGAAGTGAGGCACAGGCCACCTTCCAGTCCCTTTGGACATGAGGTTTCCCTGGAGTAGCATCCCAGCGCCCAAATCCCACGAGTGCACTCTGGTTTTGCACTGAGCCCAAACTGATACAATACAAAGGACAAAATAAAACATACAGATTATAAAGTATTCTCATAACTTCTACTTTCCTGAATTTTCTACAAATCATTTAAAAAAGTATTTTAAAATAATCACTACAAAACCTACTTAATAAAGGAGAAAATGCTTATGATATCAGGTTAAGGGAACAAAACAGGATATAAAACTGTAGCTAAATATTTACAGGAGCATCAAAATACATGAAGTACCTAGAGGTAAACCTTACAACAAACACACAAGAAGCTACTGAGCGATAAAGGACTCAACCAAATAGAAAGGTGCTCTGATTTTGCACAGAAGACTCAACATACAAGATGTTGGTTCTCCCTATATCAATACAGAATTGTCACATGATCCTAATAAAAATCTGAACAGCTCTTCTTTCCTCAACAAATTGATCCTAAAAGTCATGTGGAAAAATAAATATGAGTCTATCTGCTGGCACATTATTTGGCAGTAAAAAGAAATGAAATGCTGACACACACTACATCGATTAATCTCGAAGACATTATGTGAGTGAAAGATACCAGACACAAAGGCCATATGTTGTATGATTCCAGTTATATGAAATGTCCAGAACAGGCAACTCTACAGAGACAAAAAGCAGATTAACAGTTCCTTAGGGCTCAGAATAGGTCTCAGTACTAGAATAGGAAAATACGGAAACAGACCCCCCCCCCCAATTCACATGGGAATTACATATATGATAAAACCAGTGGGGAAAAGCTGGACTCTATTACATGGAATTTAGAAAGCTGTGTAAAAAAAGTAGCATTGGATCCACACACTACATCTTCTGCCAGGATAAATTCCCAATAAAATGAATTTTAAATATGAAAAACGCAACCATAGAAGTACTAGAAGAAAACACAGAAGAGTTCCTTTACCTCTTCAGAGTGGGGAAGGCCTTTCAGATGATGACTCCAAGTCCAGAAGTCAATAAAAAGAAAGAATCCTAAAGTGGACTAGGTAACTTTCACAAGGCAAAACAAACAAGCAGACAAACACACAAGAAGCCAAGTCAAAAGACAAATTATTACGTGGAAAAAATATTTCTAACTCATATCACAGACAAGGGGTTAATTTCCCTAATAATTTTAAGGAGTTCCTCAAGAAAGATCATCCCAACAGAAAAATGGGCAGAAGATTTGAATAGAGAATCTATAAAAAAAAGAAAAAATAAATGCCATCATGACATATGCAAATCTGCTTAAATTAAATCATAAGAAAAATGCAAATCAGAACTACACGAGATTATCTTTTTTTAACCCAGAAAACCAGCAAAACCCCAAACTTTGATGATCCACTCTGTTGGCTGTTGGCTGTCCCCCCTCTCCTCCTGTCCAGGCTGTGGGGGAACAGATTTTCTCACACATTGCTAATGAGCGTGCCCTGCCGTGACCCCCGTGGGGAGCACTTGGCAGCTTCCATGACAATTACAAATGCATAGACCTTTTCATCCAACAATTCCACGTCTGGGATTTTATTGCATTTGCAAATGTGCAAATTGATCTACATACTCACAGCAGCATTATTTATAAGAGCTAAAGATTTGAAATATTCCAAGTGCCCATCAACAGGGCAGTGTTTAAACAAATTACAGTCCTTATGACCACATGATGGAAACATTATGCAGCTATAATAAAGAGCGAGGGTGGCGTCTTTGAATTGCTAAGGAAGGATCTCCAAGACCTATCATTAAGTAAAAAAAAAAAAAAAGCACGATCTATAACAGTGTACGTAATATGCCACCTTTTGTGTTTTAAAAAAGTGTAAATTAAGAATCTCTATTTGTTTTTTTGTATGCACATAAAGAAGGTCTAGAAAGATCCATAAAATACTAAGAACAGTGATGAGTGGCAGGGATATGAAAGAGGCTTTCCACGGACTAGTTTATGTTTTGGATTTTAACCATGTGAAGAGAGTATCTTTTCATAAAATTATATAAATAAAATAAAGACAAACGGAGATAAAATTTTAGCTGTGCCAGGACCACAGCTATGTGAGGTTGCATCTGCTCAGGGACAGAGCCTGGATTGGGAGGGAGCAGACGGGACGGCATCCTGAGTTAGAGGGAGGGTCTATTCTTACAGTTCAGTTTGTTCAAGAAGTAAACGTTTCAAAAAACAAAATAAACTGTCCAGCCACAGCAGAGCAACTTCACGGCTTTGGTTACAGGAGAATGTCTGCACAAGGGAGCTGGGCCTGGGTGCCCGACCCCTCCTCCTGTCCAGTGAAGCTGGCCTCCTGCTGGACTCCCCCACACATCCACCAGGGCTGAGACTCGCGGGGAAGAGCACAGACAGAGAAAACTCACCGTCTTCTTCATCTTTTCCACGAAGGTGCTGTCTTTGACAGAGGTGGTCCTGAAAAACAAAAGTGTCCGACAGCTGTGGGATGCAGGTGGCAGCATCGAGGGGCATCCCAGCTCCGCCCCGTGCCACTCCCCGGCGACCACACCAGCAGCTGCCTCTGATCCAGTGCCGGGGCTGGAGAGGCAGGACTGGGGTACCGGTCCTCCTCCCCATGTCCTCTCCAGTAAATTCAAAGCCTCTTGGGACACACCACCTTGTAGAGCCAGGACCTCCAGCCCCGGGATAGACGAGAACAAAGAAGGGTTGGAGACTTTACTCCCTGTCCCTCACCATCTACAGCCAACGGTCTCCACGGCCTCGTCTCATCTCCACTCCCCGCCTCACACAGCTACCAGGAGTCTCCTAAATATAGTTTTGACCATGCTGCTGCCCTGCTCACTCTAAAACCTTCAATGGCTCCCAAGACCCACATGACAGAGGTACCCAAGTCCCTTCAGAATCTGTCCCCAGCCTCGCCGGACACTCCCCACCACACATTACTTCCTCCATGATCGCCTTCAGAATTCTGTCATGCCATGGCCTACACACAGACCTGACACACCCTGGCTCCACCCCCAAGGCCCCGCTCAAGTACCAACTCCCCTGGGATTCCCAAGACCCTCATCCCTTCCCTGGCACTGGGGCCATATTTAATTGTCCCCTTCTCTGTGACCCTGGTACCTTCTAGAGCTCTGAACTGGACTTTGTCCCCTCTAGAGAGCAACACCGCTGCCTGACCGCTGTCCACCTCCCACCTCCTGCCCCCGCCCCCTCCCTCTCCATACCTGTCCCTTCCCTCCTCCCTTTCCTTGCCTCAGGTCTACGGGGTGCTCTCAAGAAGCCCAGAGAGCCTCGCCAGGGACTCTCAAGCCCAAGACAGCAAGGTAGGAAAAACATCCCCTTTTCTGGATGGTAAATATTCAGGAAGTTTAAAATACGGCCAGTCTGAATCAAGTGATAAGGCTGAACACTAAAACGCGGCTGTTTCCATTTAAAACGACACCATTAAGGGAATGAAAGGCAGGCCACAGCATGGGAAGAGGAGATATTTGCAACGTCCGTATACCTGACAAAGGACTTGTGAACATAAGAAATCCCTACAAATCAACCAGAAAAAGACGCATAATCCAACAGAAAAATTGTCAAAAGACTTGAACGGGCACTTTCTTAAAGAGAGTATCCAAATAGCCAAAAACACATGGAAAAGTGCTTGACATTATTAGTTACCAGAGAAATGGAAAATAAAACCACAACCAGATCTATTATACACTCACTGGAACGGGTAAAACTAAAAGACTGACAATGTCACGAGCAGGTGAACTGGTGGAGCAGCTAGAACTCCCACATGCTGCTGGGGGAGGGCAATACAGCACGACCGCTACGGCCGTATCTTCCGTAACCCTATATAACCCAGCAACCCACTCTGCTAGACACCTCACAGAGTACACTCGCGCCCGGGCACACAGACGCACACAGGAACGCTCACGGCAGCAGCGGACACGGGAGCCCCAAAGATGGGACACCTCTAATGCCCATTAGCAGAAGAATAAACCAACAGCGAGGTACATTCATACACTGCAATATTCTCCACTGCAGCCGTGAAAAAGAATAAACTATCCCTACACACACTAACACAAATGGATCTCACAAACGTGACGCTGAGTGAAAGAAGCCATACATAAAAGAGAACAGACTGTAGGATTTCATTATATAACTTCCCCAAACAGGCAAATTAATCTATGGGGACAGGTGTCAGGACAGTGGTGACCCTTGAGGTGGAGAGGCAAGTGCAGTGGGCTCCTGGGGTGCTGGTAATCTGGTGGTGATTACCACTCGTTCACATGGCGAGAATCACTGATGGGTACATACCTTCCTGTAGATATTATACTTCAATTAAACTTCAAATTGAAGTTTACTTATATATATACAATTTGCTTCCAAAACCCACTTTCTCCTTCTACCAAGACTCTCAGGCAAGCACGGGAGGCACCGAGGTGGAAGGGGCAGGGCAGGGGCTCTGGGGTCAGCAGAGCAGGGTGCCATCCCCAGCCTGCCAGCTTGCAGCTGATTGAACCTGAACCAGGATTTCATTGCTCCTCAGCTAGAAAATGGGAATCCCACTTCAGAGGTTTTTGCAAAGAGATTAAATGAAGAAAAAGCATATAAAGGACCCAACATAGCATCCGGCATGAGGCATGCTCTCCATAACTGGTGGCTGTCACTGGGAACAGATAGCCTTTCACCCAGTCACCTCACCTGCCAGACCACAGCCAAGGGGAGGAGAAGAAATGAGGTTACCAAGGGCCAGTCACCAGGTTGGGAAAGACAGTCTCCGGGAAGAACTCTGGCAGGATGGGAGGGGCCCCACGTCAGGAGCAGAGACTTGGGTCAGATCCTAGTTCTGCCACCAAATGGGCCTGTGACTGGCCAAGCCATGGCCTCTTGAGACCTCAGATTCCTTTTATTGAAAACACTGCATCTCAGCTTCTGCAGCCTCCCTAGAGCCTTGCATGGCAACCAGAACTTGGTTAACTCTCAGGGGTAATGAGGGTGTTCTCTAGAAGACAGCTGTTTGGGTCACTCTGTGATTTCAGAGATGCCCTGTGGCACAAGGTGGTGTTTGCTAAGACCAAACGGACGGATCAGACAATCCATGCCCCCAGGTTTTTGAGGAAGCAGGCACAGTGGTGAAGAAACCAGGAAAGGCCTCTTGGAAGAGCGGGGCTCTATTCTCAGAGACAGAAAACGGCTCCCAAGAGAGAAAGCCATGGAAACCGGCTGCTGCGGGGCTCCTGGATGAGGCCCATGCAGCTGGTAGGGAGCCCAGCTCTGGCCGCCCAGCGGCGTGGTGTGGAGAAGGGTCCCTGTGTGGCCTCCCCACAGTTGTACAGAGTGGGATTCCAGGCTGACAGCCCTGGGAGCAGAGAGGGGAGCCCTCCAGGCAGGTCTGGCTGGGAATGTCACAGGGCAGGCAAGACGTGCTAGCCCTCCCCGCCCCAGAGGAAGGGTTCTCCCAAGACGCCTGAGCCCTTCTGAAGGCCAGCACAGGTCCCTTCACTGGCTTCAGTCCCCGGGGAGAAAGGAGGAACACTCCCACCCTCTCCCTCAACTCAGGGATGGCTTCCAGAGATCTGGGGCAGACCCCCAGTTCATGAGGAAAGGGAAACCGGAGGAGACTGAGGTAGACCCTGGGCTTCTGGTGACTGCTCCAACCTGCCATAGCTTCCTGCCATTCCCACTGGTTACACCCGGCCGGCTGGGGGCAGCGGGACCTGCCTCCCCCTGCAGTGCCCTGCTGCTGGGCTCAGAGCAGCAGGTTCAGCTGCTCAGCCCGAGTGGGTCCTCACCCGAGTGCCCTCAACTGGCTTCACCCCACCTGACAGCTTCACACCGCAATTTGCACACAGAACCTGATCTCTCACAGGCAGAGGAGTGGGTGACTGGGGCCTTCTGGTTTCCAGTCCCTTCGGGAGCAGGGAAATGCAGTCTGCAAACTAGGACTGAAGGGGCCAGCAGGGCCCATGCCCAGCTGAGCGCCCTGGGGACTGCCGCTGACTCTGCTGGTAACTCCACACAGCACCCTCTTCATACCTCTAGAGTGTCCCTGCCAGGGAAAGTTCCATCCACACTCGAGTCTGGGTGCCAGGTATCCCCCTGCCCGAGGGGCATCAAGGCAGCCTGCAGCCAGGGACACTGTCTGGAACTGACCTTCTCAGGGTGGGCTCGTCCCTCGGAGATGAGTACGTGCACCCCATGGTTGCTCACTCCCAGCTCCAGAACTTAAGGGTAAAGGCAAGTTACAGCTCTCTCCTGAGGGGGCCAGTGGCTAGGAAGTCGGGCTCCATCCATCCTCAGTGCAGGGCTGGTGGGGCCGGCAGACCGGCTGTGAACTCTGAGAGTGAACTCGAAGGACTCCGGTCCTCAGGAAACCTTGGCCTAGCCCCTGCCTGCATCCGTCCCCAGGAGCCTGAGAACGTGGCAACATCTGGCGGTTCCAGCAGGGAGAACTCAGGACTCCAGGCTGAAACCTCCCGTGAGCCCTTGCGTCTGGGCACACACCCCTCCTCCTGCTGCTGTATGGACCGAGGGAAGGAGAAAACCTTTCCACCCCGACTCGGGTCTCCTTGGTAACTGTTTATATCACAGTCCTTTCTCCCCACATTCTCCTGCTTTTCCACTAAAAAAATAAAATAAAAAGGAAGTCATGTCGGCTGAATAAAGCTCTTCTAGACACTCCAAGGCAGTTGTGCAGGTTGCTATGGCAGGGCCGTTTCTCCATAAAGGAAGCCACATTGATCCCGCTGCCAGGGCACCTCAGGATCACATTAAATTAGATCTGGTTCCTGTCTTCCTCCCCACAAAAGAACTGTGGGCAACAGTGCCTAAGACACTGGGTCTTGGCCTATGTCACCTGGGAGCACAGCGTGTGCCGTGACACCAGCCCAGCCTACCCTCCCATCGCGTGGCGGGAAAGTGCTGACACGTTTCCTCCTAAGGAGCATCCCGTCAAAGAACCCTAGTACAAACAGCCCATCAGAAGAGGCAGTGGCTGGCCCAGGCTTGGAGCCCAGAGACCACATGGCTCCTGAATGGAGCACAAAAGGTTCCAATTAGGGCTCTCCACTGCTAAATTGGGAGCAGAGGCCTCTCTGGTTCAGGCTTCAGAAGTCAACTGCAGCCTGCCGTGTGAGGAGGACGCAAGGGACTGTGGCCTGAAGCACTGACTCATCTGGACAGAGATGAACCAAGATGCCCTGGTGTGATTCATTTTGTTTCCAGTCCCAGAAGGAGTTCTGAAAACTGCAACTCAGATTTAATTTTCAGGCACAGAACTGACTTCTTCTGGGACTTTCTCCTGCCCTTGGTGACATATGGGGCAGCTGCATTTAAATGGCTCCCTTCCAGAGCCTGGTATGTGGGGGCAAGTTCTCCAGCTCCCAGGGTAATAGGCACCCACGATCAGAGAGAGGCTAAGAGCTGAGACACGATACAGGATGGCTGCAGAGATATGG